CTGGAGTTCTGCCGTTCTCATTGATCGGTAAACTTGGTCTTGGCTGGCTGTTCTTGCTGATCTTCTGGGGGAGGGGCCTGTTGCCGTGGTTCCCAAATGTCTTTGCTGGAGGCGGAATTGCCCTGCCCTTGCCGGTCTGGGCTAAGTAATCTGCTCGGGTTTGCTCTCAGGAGCTTTTGTTCCTGCAAGCTTTCCGTGCAGCTTTGGAGGCCGAGAGTGAAAATGGCGGCCTCCCAATCTCTGCCCCGGAGGAGACGAGAACTCGGGGCCCCACTCCTCAGTGAGCCCCCAGAGAAAAGCAGTCAGTCACTCCCGTCTCCCCAGTCTCCGGCTGCACGCCGGGCTCACCCGGCCTGTGACTGAGCATTTCTATCTCTGGCACATGACCCCGTGTGGAGTCTCCAAACCCAGCAGATCCCCACGGTGCACTCCCACGCCACTCCTCCCAGGGGAGGAAGGGGAGTCTCCCCGGATCTGCCGCTTGTTGGGTCCCTGCTGGAAGAGCAGGGGCCCACCTGTGCCGCGGATCACGATTTATGGCAACCCAGGGCTGAGAGCCCACTCGTCGGCTCCATCTCTGCAGCCAGCTTCCCCGCTCCAATACCTGGGAGCTCTGCCACACTCAGGCACCCCTGGTCTTTCTGTGACACCGAGGGTCCTGAGACCACACTGTCCCCATGAGGGTTCCACCCCACCGCTTAGCCACTGGAGTGACGTCCCTCAGCAGGGCTGACTTCTAAAAGTTCCGATTTTGTGCTCCACTGCTCTATCACTTGCTGGTAGCTGGCCGAGGGACCCCCCCTCCCCCGCCATCTATCCTCCCGAATATTGTCTCGGATTCACTTCTCCACACATCCTACCTTCCAGAAAGTGGTCGCTTTTCTGTTCAGAGATTTGTTGCTATTCTTTTCTTCAATCTCCTGTTGAGTTTGTAGGTGTTCAGAATGGTTTGATCCCTATCCAGCTGAATTCCTGGGACCAGATGAAATTTAGGTCTCCTACTCCTCCGCCATCTTGCTTAGGTCCCATCTCTGCTATTTCTGACGAGTGTTCACCTAGTGGATGCTTAAATGTGTCTGTAAGTGGGGAGCTCACTGTTAAAAGAAGGGCACCCTTTGTTTAGAGATGTTTTCTGTGATACCGAGAGGAAAACCACTTTCCTGTACCTTCCAACTGTGGGTCATTCTCCTGTCCTTTGAGATCTCCAAATTAGTCTACATTCATATCCCAAGGACTTCTCCTAATGCTCCATGGCAATGCCCAGTGCAACACATTGTATACTTGCACAGGCCTCTAATGGATGTTGCCTGTTTATTCCTCCTGTTTTGTGAATTGACAGAGGAATATGAAAACTTTTGCCCTTACCTCCCTCCTGATTATTTTTTTCCTAGGACATTCTATTCCATATATCCCCTATGGCTCAGAAACCTCCAGATGGAGAGGTAACTCCATAGTGCCACGGAGACCTGGCATCCCCCTGTATTAGTAGGCCAGGGTTCCTCGACTCTGGTGCTATTGACATTTTGGGCTAGGTAGTTCTTTGTGGTGGTGGGCTGCCCTGGGGACTGTAGGATATTTGGCAGTATCTGTGGCTTCTACCCACTAGATCACCCCCTACCCCCAGCCCAGTCACGACAACCAAAGATGTCTCTAGACGTTGCCCAATGTCCCCTGGCAGGGGGTAGAGGGAGCACACTGCCCTCAGTTGAGAATCACTAGCTTAACGCTAATAGAAATTTCTTGCTCTCATTACCATCCAATATAGACATACCTGGCCAGTGGGCAGCTTTTCTCCACATGGTGATATAGGGATCCATTTCCTTGTATCTGTTGGTTCTCATATGCCTTATGGCTTTGGAATCCCTGGTTCAGCCAGTGGTGGGGAAAGAGAGAGAAGGCATACCCACTTTGCAACCACCTTGGCCCAGAAGAGACAAATGTCGTACCTGCTTACATTCTATAAGTGAAAATTAGTCACATGGCCCCACCTACATGCAGAGGGTTCTGGGAAATGTTGTCCCTGCTTGGGCTACCATTTTTTAGGGATAACTCTATGCATTGGAAGCATGACTTTTGGAGGATTGCTAGCCAACTCTGCCTCAGGCCCATTCTCTACCCTATAGATATTGATGAGTGCCTTCACATGTGCCCTTCCAATGCAACATGCACCAACACTCCTGGGAGCTACTTTTGCACCTGCTCTCCTGGCTTTGTACCAAGCAATGGACAGCCGAGCTTCACAGACCAAGAAGTCGAATGTAGAGGTGAGAAGAGAGTTTGCTGAACATCCCTAGAAAGAAGTATCTCCTGATTCTTCTGGGTTGGTTGATATTCTCAAGTTCTTTGCAGATATTGACGAGTGTTCCCAAGATCCATCACCATGTGGCCCCAATTCTGTCTGCACCAATGCCCTGGGCTCCTACAGCTGTAGCTGCACTGGGGGCTTTCAACCCAATCCAGAAGGCTCCTTGAACTTCAGCTGCAAAAGTAATCATTTCTTTGTGTCTCTTGGCAATGGAATCTGTGTCTTGGTTTGGTTGTGAAATCCTCAATCTACTCAAACTCAGGATCTTCCTCTTACTTTTACCTCATCTACAATTCTCTCTTTTCTAATGTATTCATTCACTCATAGATTAATTCAGTCATTCAATAAATTACTCTTGGAACATCTATTAGTCAAATAGGCCCCTGTACTAGGCACTGATGATTCAGTCCTGGATGTGATGGACATGATATTCGCCTTCATGTAGTTCATAGTCTAGGGAAGGAAGTAGAGAGCACACACATAATTATTTAATAAGCACAATGAGTGTGACTCCTGAAAAATCATAATGTGCTTCAGAGTGAGTAATGAGATATTTAATATACTCTGGGCAAGTGACATTTAAGCTGAAGCTTGAAGGAAGAGTAGGAATTATCCAGATGAAGAGTGGAGATCTCAGTGTGCCAGGTTGTGGCATGTGCAAAGGCTCTGAGGCTAACATAGAGTGAGGACGAGGGGAAATGGCATTAGGTACACCTTAGGACATGGGCAGAGGTCAGATCCTGCAGGAACTGGTGAGCCATGTGAGGAATTTTGAAGATGTTTTTTTTATTTTCCCCTGAAAACAATAGGGAACTGTGAAAGGTTTAAATTTTTTTTAATTGTGGATACCTGATACATTAAAAATAGAGGTAGCTTATATGGAGACAATGAAGTATAATAATAAAATGAGTATGCCTGAGGCCCCTCACCAACATGAGAACTAGAATATCATCAATGCCCTTGTGTTTCCTGCATGTTCGTTCCCCATTAGATCTCCCTTAGTCCTCCTCAGAGGGGACTACTGGGAACTTTATGTTTATAATTCCCCTACTTAAAAAAATGCCCCCCATGTATGTATCCCTAAACAATACTTCACTAAGTTTTGCTTGCTTTGGAGCATTATAAAAATGGCATCATGCTCTGGATAGTCTTTTCTGACTGGATCTTTTCACTCAGTCTCCTGCTTCTCAAAGTCCCTGATGTTTCAGTGTGTAGCTGTCATATAATCTGGTAATGGATGGATTTGAAGCAGGGGATAATGAAATCAGATTTGTCTTTCAATCATAGTTTGCTGTGGTTGAGCTTTAATTTGGTTGCTTTTGTTTTCTTCCTAGAGACTCCCTTCAAGTGTAAAGAAGATGTGATACCCAACAATGAGCAGGTCCAGCTCTGCAAAGTGGGAGGAGCAGTGGAGCCTGAACATGTTAAGTATTTTTAAGGTTCCTAGCTCTTGAGTTTCCTAGAAGACCTTCTAGAAGTTCCTAGAAGACCTTCTAGAAGTTCCTAGAAGAACTTCTAGAAGTTTCTAGAAGGTTCCTAGAAACCACTCAGGTAGGAGGTTGTTTTGCAGCTTTAACAAAGGCCAAAATAATGGTGACCTAAATTGTATAACAGTTTATTTCTCTCCTTGTAAACAATCTGAGTGTCTGCTGTGGAGAGTTGATATGATGGCTCTGTAAATCTTCTGCCAGCATCAACACAAGCGTCCCACTTTGTGGTCCAATATGGCTGCTCCAGCCCCTGCCATCACGTCTGCATTTCAGCTGGTGGGCAGGGGGGAGGGGGAAGTGAATGGCATAGTTCTTCTCTTTAAGAGTTTAACCCAGTATCACTTCTGTTTATATCTGGCTTCAAGGAAAGCTGAGAAGGGAGGACATTTGTCTATCTAAAACTTGGGAATTCTTTCACTAATGGAAGAAAAGATGTTGTTTTTTTTTTAAATTGTGGTGATTTACGAAAACAATGAATCATGGATCACTACATCAAAACTAATGATGTATTGTATGGTGACTAACATAACTTCATAAAATTAAATTAAATTAAAAAATAAAAATTGTGGTGAGATACACCTAAAACTTCACCATTCTAACAACTTATTTATTTTTTATTTAAAAAAAATTTTTTTATGTTCAGTTAGCCAGCATATAGTACATCATAAGTTTTTGTTGCTGTGGTATTTAGTATACTCACCATGGTGTGCAACCATCACTTCTAGCCCTCAAACATTTTCATCCCCTCAAAAGAAACTGTATCCCTAACAACATTGCCCTCCAGTTCCTCCTGCCTCTGGCCCTTGGTAAACACTGATCTGCTCCCTGTGTCCATCAGTTAGTCTATTCTGCATATTTCATATAAGTGTAATCATACAGTATGTGGTTTGTGTGTGTGTGTGTGTGTGTGTGTGTGTGTGGTTTCTCTCACCCAGCATGATGTTTTCAAGGTTCATCCACCCAGCATGATGTCTTCAAGGTTCATCCACATTGTGACATTGTCCACGTTCACAACATCCACATTGTGCCAATGCTTTACTCCTTTTGGTGGCTGAATAATACTCGATTTGGACCAATTGATGTTTTTTTCACACATTCCCCCATCTTTGACCCCACTAAGTAGTTTTGCTGTTTCTTTGTATTTGCTTCTTTTATTCATTGAAGAGAAAGGTGTTGTGATTCCAAGTCTGCTCAAATGGTGAGTTTCCATTTTCCTGAGAATTCTAGAGCCTCCTGACTCCTTAGCTGTTTAGGACCACTCTTGTGGTAGACTGGATGGCCAATGTGTACTTCACGTGCTGGGGGATCGATCAATCAGTGGTTCACTCATGCTCTTTCTCTGGGGCACAGGGTTCCTTCTGCACACTAATGAACGCCACCTTAAGTGTTCTGGACAATGCCTGTGGAAACAGAACTGCCGTGGTTTCTCTGAAGGTAACAGCAAAGTCTTTGTAACCGGGTTTCAAGCTTTGAACATCTTGGGGGGACACTTTGGGTACAGAAAGTCCTCTTATTATTAATGGTTGAGTTAGCATTTAATTTATTTCAGCTGCAAGTTTTTAAAATTTAACATACAGTAAAATTGCCCTTCTCTGTCCAGTTTTATGAGTTTTATTACCTAAGTAGATTTGTGTAACCACCACCACAATCAGAATATAGAGCCGTTCCTTTTCCTTCCCAAACTCTCCCTTGGGCTTCCCCTTTATTGTCAGATGCTCCCTCCACCACCAGCCCCAGTAAATCTCTGTCATTAGAGTCTTGTCTTTTCAAGAATATTATATAAATGGAATCACACAGGATGTGGCTTCTGTCCTTTCTTTCTTTCTTTCTAAAGATTTTTATTTATTTATTGGGGGGTGGAGAGAGAGAGAGAGAGCATGAGTGGGGGTGGGGGGAGAGGGAGAGGGAGAAGCAGGCTCCCAGCTGATCAGGGAGCCCCGGGTGGGGCTCAATCCAAGGACCCCGGGTCATGACCTGAGCTGAAGGCAGACGCTTAACCGACTGAGCCACCCAGGTGCCCCCAGGATGTGGCTTCTTTCACTCAGCATAATGCCTTTGAGATTCATCAAGGTTGTGATCAATAGTCCCAATTCTTATTTTTTTTTATAACTGTTAGTGACATTGTTTACATTCACAACATTGTGTAAACACCATCACCACCACCACCATCCCCCCAAAACGAAACTTGGACCCATGAAGCAGCTGTTCCTCATCCCTCCCTCTGCAAGCCCCTGGCAACCACTAATCTGTTTTCTGTCTTTTTAGACGTACCTGTTCTGGGTATGTTATGAAAAAGGAGTCCTACAAAATGTGGTGTCTGGCTTTTTACTCGGAGTGTAATATTTTTGTGTCTGGCTTCTTACTCGGAGTGTAATATTTTTAAGGTTCATGCACATTAAAGCACAGGTGGGTGCTTCATCCCTTTTTATGGCTGAGTAGTACCCCACTTTATGGATGTACCATGGTTTATCCATTCATCTGGGAAGGACATCTGAGTTGCTTCCACGTAACCAACATCTCCCTCTTCCCCTGACCCCCACCTCAGCTTTGGGCATTAATCAGTAGAGCTGCTGTAAACATTCGCATACAGTTTGTATGTCTGTGTGTCTGTCTGTGTGTGTGTGTGTGTCCCTGATTTTTCATTTCTCCAGGGTAAATACCTAGAGATAGGATTACTCGGTCATTACAATGGTAGATTTTAAAACCTAGTTTTTCTTAAGACTTTAAGTTGAACTTACAGTTGTTGTTAGTTTATTAATAAATTTGGTTGGTTTTGTACCAAAATAAGAATAATGCTTTCATTTGTAATTTGATTTAAAATTAATTTATTGGTAAAACATATTTATTCATTAAGTGTACATTCACTCATAGGGTTTTCAGATTAAATTTCCATAAATGAACCGATTTTACAAATTTAGTTAGATTCCCTCATTTTATACTATGTTTACGAATATTCTTATTTCCCTCCAAATTTCAAATACCTAATGAGGAAGATTTACAATCTAAAAGGCAAAGTCATTATGCATTCAAGGGATTCGTAAATCCGATCAATCAAATGTGTAAATGTAATAATTCAGATTTTTTTAAATATTCAAAACCATTTATCAACAGCTGTGTTCTCTTACAGTGTTCATACTGAATACACATTTATCACACATCTAATTGCTTTTGGCAGTGAAATCACGTGGTTACTCAGTTAACTTCTCTAACGTGTTGAATTGTTCCAAACCCTTTCAACAACCACTTTCCAGATTATGCCAAAGATCACAAAACTTTCTAAATTGAACAAGAAGTGTGTTCAATGGTGTCTTAGTTTGCCTACCGATGTTTAACCTCCCCAAGGAAATAAAATAGCATTCCCAGCTAAGAATAGATTTCACATTTCAAAGGGAGTTTTAATGAGGTTTCCTCAGCCATGGAATTGAGGACGTTTTTGCAGGATGATTCTACCTGAGATTTTTCTGTGTGTTGGTGGGCAGGGACCCCACACTCATGCCTTGCATTTGGGATATGGTTACAGAACTCTGTGTGTCCTGTTTCTCCAGAACGAACATCTCTCAAGTTGTACCCTCATCCAGTTTTTACTGAAATTCTTTTCATGTTTTTAAGAGATTTATTTCTTTATTTCAGGGAGAGAGAGAGAGAGAGCGAGCACAGGGGGAGGGTCAGAAGGAGAAGGACAGAGAGAATCTCAAGCAGACTCTCCACTGAGTGTGGAGCCCAACGCGGGGCTCGATTTCACGACCCTGAGATCATGATCTGAGCCAAAACCAAGAGCTGGATCCTTAACTGACTGAGCCACCCAGATGCCCCTCTTTTCATGTTTTTACTGTGCAGTTTGGATAGATAGAAATTGGTATTCCTACTAGGATTTCAGTTAATTTCCTTCCTCATCTGACTGGAGTCAATTAATTTCTTCCTTGTATTTATTAGGTTGTGAATCCTTCTCATATATATATATTTTTTTGGTTGGGGTCAGAGTCACATTGAAGAAGTCTATTGATGATCAATAAAGGGAATCGTATCAACATTAATATTATTATTGCTATTCTTTCCTTAACTCTATTCCTCAGATATAATCAATGTTAACATTTGGATATATATCTTTCCATACCCTTTCACTTTGTGAATCCCATGCTCATGCACAGACAGACACACACACACACTGAAGCCATTTATTGAACACCTACTAGAAGGATTCAGCCTCTGATACCAGCCTGCCAAGGTTCAAATCTTGGTTCTGCTACCTCCTAGATGTGTATCCTGTTTCCCCATCCAAAAATGGACACAATAGTCTTTACTTCACAGATATCATCCTAAAATTAACATATGTAAGACACTTAATACCTGGCTCATAGTAAGTATTGATTATTTTTATGTCTATGTGCCAGAAATATTAATGTTATAAGTATAAACATTTTAATGAAAGTACTTGTTTTTTTAAGTGAAATGAGATACTATATACATGTTACCCTGTAATTTTCTTTACTTAATAGCTCATGGACCTTTTTGCTTGTTAATATGTCTATATATATATATATATATTACACCATTCTTTTATTAACAGCTGCATACTATCGCATGATTTGATTCCATCATTTATTTAGCCAATCTGTTGGACATTTAGACTTTCTGACTTCTTGCTATCAAAAGCCATACTGAAATAAACATCACTGGACAAGATCCTTGCACACCTTTTAAGCATTTCTGGAAGGATTAATTCCAGGAGGGGAAATCGCTGGTTTGGAGCTGTGTGCAAGCAATGTTATTCCAGGTGCTGATTTAAAGGCTACACCATTTTGCATCCCAAGGGGGCCTTTGGGATCAGGAAAAGGAAGCTGAGTAGATGCCCTTTTAATTCTTCATTGGCTTAGACTGTCAACCCAGTCTCTTGAGGAGAGAAAGAGAGAGCGGGGAGAGAGGGAGGGAAAGAGAGAGAGGGAGGGAGAGAGAGGAGGGAGGGGGAGAGGCAGAAGGAGGGAGAGAGAGAAGGAGGGGGAGAGAGAGAGAAAGAGAGCGCACAGCGTGCAAACACCTTTCCTTGCAGAGTGCAGTTGAGAGCTTTGCCTCTGTGCTTGAACAAACATCCACATCCTCCAACTTCACCAAAGAAGAGACCTCCGCACTGGCCACTGTGGTCCTGGAGAGTGTGAAAAGCACCACCCTGGCAGCCTTCCTGAAACCGTCAGCAAATGTCAGTCAGACTGTCCAGACTGAACATTTAGGTAACATGGCAAGGTTACACCCGGGCGCTGACTTTGAGGGGGGGCCTTGAGAGATGCGATTCTCCGTGCCTTTCCCATATCCCATTTTCCCAAGTGTTTCAAATCTCTGGACTCACAGAAGAGCCAGTCCAAGGATATGAACAACATCTCCCATTTACTGAGTGGCTGACATTGAGTTATGAGTGTTGCCAGGTAGGGTTTGGAGTGTGTTATCTGTTCAACAACTATCTGAGTTCCACAATGAACAAACATCTGGTATACCAGACATGGATAGTGCTATTGAGAAAAATACAGCAGGGCTAAGTCGGCTAGAGAGGGTCAGGCTTGGGGGGGAGCATTGCTAGCTTACCTGGGAAGGGAGCCGTGTACCTATGTGGAGAAAGTGCAGGCACAGGAATACTTGGTGAGTTCAAGGAACAACGAAAAGGCCAGCATGGCCAAAGTGGAGTAGAGAATCATAGAGCTTGCAGGAGAAGGAGTCAGAAAAGGAGGGGAGAGGTAGATTTTGTAGACAAATGTAGGGACTCAGGATTTTATCTGAAGTAAGACTGGGGGTGGGGTACGGAATTGGAGAGTTTGAGAACAGGCGTGACATTATCTGGCTTATATTTTAAAAGGATACCTCTGGTTCCATTACCTATTTTATTTTCATGAAGACCCCTGTAATTACTGCCATGCCACAGGTGAGGGACTTGCGGCTCAGAGGGTTTAAGTCTGTTCAAGTTGGCACAGCTGGTGAGTGGCAGAGCTGACTGCAACACCTGAGCCCTGGTCCACTCTGCTGGGTTCGCCCCAGCCCCTTCCTATTTCCTTTGGCTTTAGGAAACTTGTGTAAATGTAGAGAAGCCAGGGGGTCATGACTGTTGCTTTCCACCACTGTTGACTTCAACCCCATCTTTCCCTGATGCACCCCCTCTGGGGCGAGAGCTCACTCCAACAGCTCCGGCTGGGTTTCTTAGTTGTCTGGTGCTATCATCCTCCTGTCACTCATCAGGGGCTCAAGATCTTCCCCATGATGAACTGGCCTTTTTATTCTTTGCTTGCAACTAGGTGTGTATAACTTTTTGGACAGAAACCGAATTCAGGACTCACTTTCTGAGTGACCTCAGGCAAAGTCTCCCTATCTCCTTTTAAAGATTTTTATTTATTTCTTTGTCAGAGAGAGAGCACAAGCAGGGAGAGCGGCAGGCAGAGGGAGAAGCAGGCTCCCCGCTGTTCAAGGAGCCCCATGTGGGACTGGATCCCAAGACCCTGGGATCATGACCTGAGCTGAAGGCAGTCGCTTAACCAACTGAGCCACCCAGGCATCCCCCTGTCTCCTTTTAGAAATTGAAAGCAAAATTATCAAGGAAGAATGCACTGAAGAGAATGTGACCTTTCACCTGAGAGCCAAAGGGGACAAGATGGAGATTGGGTGCTCCACCATCAAAGAATCTGAATCCACAGGTACAGACTTGCTCCTGAGAATCAAGGAGGGTGGTTATGGTGTATTCAATCAGCACACATTTATCAGTCAACTCATAGGTGCCAAGACTTGTGAGGGGATCAGTGAAGTGAGGACCATGCCCTCAGGGAGTTTTCCATCCACTGGGGAAGTCAGATATTAAATAAATAAATACTCTCACAATAATGGAGCATCAAGACCTTTAGTGTCCGGTAAAGTAGCCACTCAATAACCTTTTGTTATTGAGCACTTGAAATGTGGCCAGGTGGTGAGTGTAAAAATATACACTGGATACCAAAGGCTTAGTATAAAAAAAAGAAGGATGGAAAATCTCATTCATATTTTTATATTGATTATATGTTGAAATGGTAATATTTTGCATGTATTGAGTTAATATATCATTAAAATTAATTTTTACCTGCTTTTGACTTTTCTAAAAATGTGGCTACTAGAAAATTTAAAATTACCTAGGTGGTTCATGTTGTTAAGTGGACAGTGCTGGTCTGTATCGGGGATTGACAAACTTGTCTTGTAGAGGGCGGGTTTGTAAATGTTTTAGGCATTGAGGGCAATACAGTCCCTAACGATGCAAAGGTGTTCATACATGAATGTGTGTGGCTGTGTTGCAGTAACACTTTTACTTATACAAAAGGGGCAATGACCAGATTGGCCTGTGGGCCATTGTTTGGCCCCTCCTCAATCTATCTTCGGTCTGGAGGGCTCAGGGAGCAGGCCTGGGACATCCCTGAAGACCACCAACGTTGAAAGGGGAAGCCTACCAAGGAGATGGAGCAAGAATAACCATAAATGTGGGAGGCAAACTTATTTCCCACTGCTCAGTTTGATTGTCTCTTACAAATACAAATTAAAATTTATTTTTTAAATATAGCCAACATCTCTCCAGGTGGAAGCAACTCAGGGTTTTTTTTTAATGGTTCTAGTGAGGGTCACCAATCTAGAAGTCCACTGGTTGCACTAGTGTTGCAATCCTCAGAGTGGGCCAGTGGAGGTACAGAGATGCATGGGATATTAAAGTGTGTATGTGTGTGTACATGTTGGGTCATCTGTAATCACTACTGAGCAAATGATTCCTTCTTTTTTTTTTTTTTTGCCTATGGGGGAAATCACAGGGACCACTGGGGTGGCTTTTGTCTCCTTTTCGGGGATGGAGTCTCTTTTAGATGAGAGCTTCTTCCAAGACCCTGAGACCCCTTTGGCCAACTCCCAGAGGAAGTTGAAGGTGAAGATGAATTCTCGCGTGGTACAGGGCACCATGACTGGAGAGAAGAAAGATGGCTTCTCTGACCCAATCATTTACATGCTGGAGCACATTGAGGTTTGTGAAGAGGTCCCTGCTGAGCCCCCATCTACCTACTGAGAATGCCCTATCCCCCAGTGGGCTTGACTTTCATTTTTGATAGGGACCCACGAAGGCAGCAAGCTCTCACAGTTTCTTGCAACTCAAGCTGATCCTCAAAATCCACCTTTAGAGAGGAGGGCTCTCCTCCTCTCTAAAGAATGTGTATTCTTCCATCCATCATTGGGCAAGATTGGGCTCAGATTAAGTGATGTTGATGCAGGAACATTTACAGGGACGTTATCTACATTGGCTATGACCAATTCAGTGTTAGAGGCAGATCTGGTATCTGAGATCTTTCTCTCCATCCTTGCACACTGAAATACCACATTTCCCTCCCAAACATACCTGCATCTTCCTGCCCCAAATGACTCTTGAAGTTGGTCGTACTGAATCCATTTGAAGGAGAGTCTCAGGTGACAAGAGCCTTTCCATTTTCAGCCAAAGCAGGAATTTGAGAGGCCTATCTGCGTTTCCTGGGACACCGATGTGGAGGGTGGTAGGTGGACGCCCTCTGGCTGTGTGGTCCTTGAAGCTTCTGAGACGCATACTGTCTGCAGCTGTAATCAAATGGTGAACCTGGCCATCATCATGGCTTCTGGGGAGCTCACGGTCAGTACTGATTCTCTGTGTTCTGGCTCCCCAAATCCAAGGGGAAAATATTGAGTAAACATCCATTGTGTGTCTCTCATGGCCTTGGGTATTGTGGGAGGGAGTTGGGGCGGGGACAGATGGGGTGTGCGATACCTCTGCCCTTGGAGAATTCAGGGTCTGGCTGGGAAGCCATGACATTCACGTATAAAATGAGAAGTGACCCTAAGCAGATGCTGGGACAATTATAATCACAGATCCCATTTACAGAGCACCTACTGTGTTGGACCCTTTATTTTAAGTTATGTGTTTTCAGGCCCTTTTACAGGATGGGGGCTGAGGCTCCGTAGCCCACCTACTTAGGAAACTCGAGATGAGACTCAAACCCAGGACAATCTAGCTCCAAAGGACTCTGTCCACAAAACCATGTACATGGTGCAAGAAGTTGTGCTATGGGAATTCAGAAGTGTGTTGGTGAGAGCTAGGAATCAATCAGGGAGGGGATGGATGTGAAGTGAGCCTTGGTGAGTGGGTAAAGATGTACAGAGCATGTATGTTTCCTGCACAGTTGTGAGCACTTTAAGTATTTTCATTGAATCCTCCTGCAACAACCATACAGGGTAGTTACTGTTAGGATCCTCTTTTAACAGATGAGGAAACAGAGGCTCAGAGCAGTTAAGTGTCTTGCCCAAGCTTATACAATAGGAACTGGCAGATCTCTAGTCCATCCTCTTAGCCACCACATCATAAAATCATAGGGAGTAGCTCGTGAGATGGTACCTTGTCACATCTTCAATACACAGAAGGAACTCAAAAATTTAAAATTAATTGTGAATAAAAATAATTGTGAATAAGGGAAGGACTCGGCTTGCCATTTCCACTCCCAGAAGTTGGGGCATCTCTGAACGCCTGTGTAACAGTCCTGGTTCAGGGCAGGAAATGGTAATCACTCTAGATATTTCAAGCAGGGAATGGGATGCTCACAAAATCATGGGAAGGGATGGAGGAGTTGAAGTCAGGGGCTGCCACTTGGGGTTTGGTTTCGAGATCACCCCTCTGCAGCTGTAATCCAGAGGTCAGAAATTGCTGCTGTCAGATCACCCCACATCCATGCAATCAAAGAAGGGACAGCTGGAATGTGGAGCCCAGCCATAGCTTGCTCCTGTCTGCAGGAAGAAAACCGGTATCTGCCTCCATTCTGCCTTCGAAAACTTCTGTGCTTACATCTCATTGGAGAACTTAAATGACATCCAGGACTCTAGCCCCAGGAGATTCTGGGAAATGTAGTTTATAGACATCCTGCTCTAGTACAACATGAAGTGGGGCACAGAACAGGAGTGGGAATGGGTGCTGATGGATTCCAAAGGATGATGCTGGACAATATCTAGTTCACTCTGAGTGTCAAAGGGAGAAAAGGTCTCTGAGTCCTTTCTGCCCCAGTCAGGAGTCTGGATAATTCTTTTTTCTGCCTGGAGGGATGTCAGTCCCTCTCTGAGTGGTGTATCTCCTTCCTGACAGATGGAGTTCTCCCTGTACATCATTAGCCATGTGGGCATGATCATCTCCCTGATGTGTCTCATCTTGGCCATCGCCACCTTCCTGCTGTGTCGTGCCATTCGCAACCAAAACACATACCTCCACCTGCACCTCTGCATCTGCCTCTTCTTGGCCAAGACTCTCTTCATCATCGGTGTAGACAAGACTGACAACCAGGTCTCACATCCCTTAGACTGTGTCCTTACTCAGCCCCACCATCTCCACATCTGCCCCTGCTCATCCTACCCAACAACGTCTGTGCTAGTTCCCACCTCAGGGCCTTTGCACGTGCTATGCCCTCTTTTGATAATACTTGTTCCCAGTACTTCACCTGGTTGACTCCTTCTTGTGGTAGGTCTCAGCTTAAAATCATTTCCCTGATCGTGTTATATATTGTGGTAGTCCCTCCGATTACTGTTTAAACCATTGGTTCTTATTTTGGAGGATTCTGCTGCCTAGAGGACACTCGGTGATATCTAGAGACAGTATTGGTGGGGGTGCTGCTGGCATCTGGTGGAGACTAAGGACGCTGCCAAACACTGTACAATACACAGGACAGATCCAGTGACAGAAAATAATCTGGCAATAGTGTTACAAATGTCAATAATGTTACAGCTGTGAAACTCTATTCCTTATCAGTCTTTGTTGCTTTCTTTCCCAGCATTTATTTGAAACCATATTGATTATTTGTTGTTCTACTTGTTGTGTATCTGCCCCCCCACACTAGATGATGAGCCCCATGAGAGCAAGAACTTTGGCCAATTTACCCCCATAACTATACCAGAAACATAGTAGGCTCCCAGGATTTTTCCACTAGGAGCACTAGTGACATTTTGTCTGGGGTGATCATTCTTTGTGCAGAACAACCCCCAACCCCGCCACCACTGTGGAATGTTTAGCTTTCCAGAACTCAGTGCTGGTAGCACATGTCACTCCCACCATTTGACCGGGAGTGAGCAAACTTTTTCTGTAAAGAGGCAGATATAAATATTTTTGGCTTTGCAGATCCTAGGGCTCTGTCACAAACACTCAACTTTGCTGTTTTAGCATGAAAACAGCCATAGAAAATATAGAAATGGATGTGGCCATGTGCCAATGAAACATTATTTACAAAACAGAAAGCCAGCCCAATGACTACAGTTTGATGACCCCCACACTCAATATCTTCAAACATCCTCTGAGGTAGGGTGATCAACTATCCATTCTTTTCAAAACTCTCACAGTTTTAACACTGAAAGTCACATGTCCTAGGAAAAACCAGTCCCAGGCAAACCAGGACAATGGGTCCCCCTACCAAAGGGATGATAGCAACCTGCAGGGAAGAATATCTCTATAAAGGCTTGTGGAATGAATGAATGGGCTGTGGTTGAGGAACTCCAAATCAAAGTTACCCCCACTGTTGTCTGAACCTGCTTCTTGGGTTGGGGTGGGGGATAGGAGGATCCTGAGTGTGCATGTTTCTCCTCTCCAGTTGGGCTGCGCCATCATTGCAGGCTTCCTGCACTACCTTTTTCTCGCCTGCTTCTTCTGGATGCTGGTAGAGGCTGTGATGCTCTTCCTTATGGTCAGGAACCTGAAAGTGGTGAATTACTTCAGCTCTCACAACATCAAGATATGGTACCTCTGTGCCTTTGGCTACGGGCTCCCAGTGCTGGTGGTGGCTGTCTCTGCCAGTGTGCAGCCACAAGGTTATGGGATGCATAATCGGTAAGTGATACCCTTCTCTCTCCCTGAAGAGCCTGCTGCCAGGGTTTATGATGATATTTACATGAACAACAAGAAGAGCAATAACAGTAGCAGTAATTGTGTCTACCATTTATTGAGCTCTTTATGTTTTGTCGGTCTCAGGGCTGCCATGTACAGTAGCACAGGATGTGCACTGCACAAATCCAGGAGCCACTGTTTCCACTACGGTATAGATGAATGGTGGTGGTGTAAACAATGGACTTGGTTGTAAATTTTAAAATCATGGATTCTGGAGCCAGCCTGCTTGGGTTTGAATCCTTGCTCTACCACCTTCTAGCTGTGCTACCTTGGGCAAGTTACTTATGCTTCCATTTCCTCATCCATACAATAGGGGCTGACAGCAATGCCTACATCATAGTGTTGTGAGGGTTAAAGGAGTTATTATCTGCAAAACATTTAGAACAGTCTCTGGCACAGAGTAAAGCATTATACGTGCCATCATCATCATCATCACCACTATCTGTTTTAAAGCAGGTTTTGTTTATCACATGGTTCGTGTGAGAGGATTTTGGGTAGTGTGTTGGTGAGAATAATTTAAAAATATTTTTGTATTTATCTTATAGGACATTAGGAAAAAATTGCCAGCATATCAACCAAACTCGTGGTATCATAGACATGATTCCATTGTATAAGTAAAAAAAAGTGAGTCAACTTTGAAAATCAGGTAAATGACAGGATAAGCAGTATGTGGCTAGGGCAGAGACTGTAACTCACTGCATCATGTCATGTAATTCTATGATCCTTGTGATAGTGGTGCTGTTCTAATTTACAGATGAGGAAAGCCAGGCTTTCTTGCCATTACAGTGAGAAAGGGGCTGTGTGAGGACATGAATCTGGGTCTTTCCAATCCCAGGGCCTGTGTTCATCACCCTGTGTCATAGGCACTGCTGAGCTGTGGTTAGGGAACTAAATATCCAGGTTTCCTCCCTGCCTACTACTGATGGTTTGTGTTTCAGGTGAGGTCATGAGATACTAGGTGAGGGAAAGGAATCTGTAGGAAGTGAGCACTCATCAAACCTAAATCCTGCGAGCTTTACAAACATGTATTATCTCTAGTACTTCTCAACAGAAATCCTCTGTGCAAGGACTAAGAGTCTCCATTGTGTACAGTGTCCCCTGGATTTGTGCAGTGTACAACCTGTGCTGCTGCACATGATGGTACATAAAGTAACCGCTTAATGAATGGTAGCTTCAGAGGAAACTGAGGCTCAGCACAGTTGCAGAACTTGTCCTGGGCCACGTAGCTAGGAAGTGTCCAAACTGAATTCAGATCTGTCTTGTCAGGAGATGGTGGTGACAATGCAAGGTCACCATGATGAAGTGTCCAATGTTGGTGTGGGTAATATAAGCACTGACAAAGACCAGAGAAGGATGATAGCATATGGGAGTGGGAAAGTTCATGGAAGGCTTCCTGGAGGAGGCAGAATTTGAATGAGTCTTGAAAGCTCTACTGAAATGTACATAGGCAAATAGAAAAGGGGGTGGCAACATAGGTGAGGGCAATACCTTCCCAAAGGAGGGCTAAAGGTCTGTTTGGAGAACAGATGGATTGGGCTGAAAGAAGGGGAAACTGGGGGAGGGCCATGGAATTTAGAGAGTACCTTCCAGGTGGTGAGAACCACAGAAAGTTTGGAAGAGAGGAATAGTATGACAAGGATTTGAGATGACCTTCGGAAGAAGCACTAGGCGTGGGGAAGAGAAGGAGCGAATATGGGGTGCAGGTGTGCAGGTATGGCTGCAGGTAACAGGCTCCATCCCAGTGGGTACCTCTGGGAAACTGTGTAGGGCATGTACCTCTGATATCCCACCCAAGGGGGCATATTTGTCTACCATCTCCCTCCCAGCAGCCTTTGGTTGAGGGCTGCTCCTGGTGAACTAATCCTCAGAGCTTTCAGTCTGATGCCTCCAGCCAGAGATGCAGAAGCTGATAAGGGAATTGGCCAGTTTTTACTGAAGTGGTTGTTCCTGAAAGAACAGGGACAGCATCTTCTGTGCATTTTACATCTTTTCATTACTACTACTTGGAGACTCCTGTTCCGGGGAGAGAATGCCTGGTTAGCCAAACTTGATTATTTTCCTTCTCTTGTGGGGGGAGGCACACTTTTGCTAAAGGAATATTGGGGTGCTGTTACTGAACGTGGTGGAATGGTTGTCAGATGGTGAAAACAACAAATTCGTAGAGACATGATGGAAAGAGGCAATGAATTCTCTCTTCCTTCTCTCCCTCCATTCTTCCCTCCCTCCCTCCCTCCCTTCATTTCTTTTAAGAAATAACTATGGAATGCCTCATCCATGCCAGACTTTGCACTGAGTGCTGGGTATTCAGAGATGAACAAAAGTTCAAGGTCTAAATTCTCATATAGCTCATATTCTTGTAGGGAGTGAAGGACAGTTTGCAAGGAAACAAACACCACCATAATTTATGATACCAATAGATGCTATAAAAAAGAAAAGCAACAAGCTCTGCTAGAGATGGACTAGGGGTAGGGGTGGTCAGAAATGGCTTTTCAGAGAAGGTGACATTTGAGCTGAGATTTGAAGGAGCAGGTATGCCAGTGAAGAGGTCTGAATAGAGAGGAAGGGGTTACAAAGATTATGAATTGAGGATGAGCTCTATGCAGGGTATCAAGTGAATGCTTCAGGAACATTTACCCAGGAGGAAGGTCTGAAAGAAGACTTGCTGTGGCCCAGAGAAAACTGAGCTGTAACCTGCCCCATCATGAGAATTTTCATCTCAGGGTCAGCTCCCTATACTCTCCTCCACTAGTGCATTTTTTGGAGCATGAGTAACTGTAGGGTTAAGACTGAGACAAGCTCTGACTCCTATTTCTCTCCATAGCTGCTGGCTGAATACAGAGACAGGGTTCATCTGGAGTTTCCTGGGGCCAGTCTGCGCCATCATCATGGTAAGCAAATTGCTTGGCACAGTGTGTCCTGGAGCAGGAACAAGGAGACCCCGGGGATCAGGAAGTACCAGTGGAAGTTGCGCAAGCCAAGATCACTTATTCCTCTCAAACATTCTGCTTTCTGATCCCTGGTTCTTTTTTTTATTTTATTTTATTTTATTTATTTATTTGACAGAGAGACACTGCGAGAGAGGGAACACAAGCAGGGGGAGTGGGAGAGGGAGAAGCAGGCTTCCTGCTGAGTGGGGAGCCCGATGTGGGGCTCGATCTCAGGACCCTGGGACCATGACCTGAGCGGAAAGCAGACTCCTAACGACTGAGCCACCCAGGCGCCCCTGATCCCTGGTTCTTGAGATTTCCAAGTTAGAGCGTAATTTCTTTGACTTGTGATTTTTTTTTTTCTCTGCCAACATGCAAATCCTCTGGAAGGGACCACAGTCTTATCTGTCTTTTATGTTTCAGTAGGAATGGGTCTATTACGATAGCCATTGAATGGGAAAAAAAAGGGAGAAAGAAATTAAGAGTATTTAGTGGTCAGGGAGAAGAAGAAAACAGTGGGATGGAAGCAGAGGGAAGCCTAGAGTTGTTTTTGGTTTTGTTTTTAGCTTTATTGGGGTATAACTGACAAATAAAAAATGTATATATTTAAGGTGTACAACTTGATGTTTTGACTTATGTATACGTCATGAAATAGTCACCACAATCAACCCAATGAACATATCCATAACCTCACATAGTTACTGTTTTTCTTTCTTTCCTTTTCCTTTTTTTTTTTTCGTGGTGAGATCACTTAAGATCTACCCTTTTTAGCAAATTTCAATTATACAATACAGTATTGTTAACTATAGTCACCACGCTGTACGTGAGATCTCTAGAAATTATTCACCTTGTGTAACTGAAACTTTGTGATCTTGGAGTAACATCCTCCTCCAGCCCCAGCACCCACTGTTCTACTCTCTGGGAACGTGGGGGTTTGGGAACCATCTTCTTGCCTCCTTACCTCCAACCCAGATCCAACAGTCCTGCAAGATGATGTTTCTTTTGACTGTCACTCATGGTGGCTTTTTTCCTTGTGTCACTTGTAACTGTTAATTGTGAGCTCCTATCTGATTGATTTAAATCTTGGGAATTCTTGAGAATGTATTCCTCCAGAGGGGTTTTGCTCTGACTTCTGTAAGATTTGGGAGGGGGGCATGTATTAGTTTCCTAGGGTTGCCAAACAAAGTATCACAAACAGGGTGGCTTAGAACAACAGAATTTTATTGTCTCACAGCTCTGGAGGCTAGAAGTATAAAATCGAGGGGTCAGTAGGGCCAGGTCCCCTCTGAAGGCTCAAGGGAATGATCCATTCCAGTTTTCTATCCAAGAAGACTGGTAACCTCAGGAGTTTCTTGGCTTGTAGATGTTTGGCTTCTCTCTGTGCATGACTGTCTCTGTGTCCAAATTTCCCTGTTTTATAAGGTCATGTGGGATTAGGGCCCAACCTATGACCTCGTTTTAATTTGATCACCTCTGGTAAAGACCCTAACTCCAAATAAGATCACATTCCTAGGTCCTGGGGGTTAGGTCTTCAACAATTCAACCCAAACAGGGCACCAATCTTAATTCTAACTTTCCACATGCATCCAGTGAAAATAAGTGGTAATCACCCAGATGAGAACCAGCAAAGCATATTTATTGCTATAGTAAGGGAGTCAGTCACCATCACTTGCACTTTGCAGAGACTCAAAAGCAGGCAGAGGAGTAGGATAAAAAAGGGGTAAAAAAGGGAAGGCTTCAGGTGTGCCCCGATCAGAGGCTGTAGGCATCAGTACCCTAGAGGCAAGCTAACTCAAAGCAGGGTATCCTATGTGAATGCTTAGGAGAGCATATTGGCTTTTTCCCTTTGGTCCTAAGTTGGAAGTGAGGGCAGAAATTAGGGAAACTGTCAGTTACCAATCAAGAGGTGGTTGTTTAGGGTTGACTGCTTCCTGGAGTGGTTACTGCAGACTATGGGTTTTTACAGGGGGTCTGGCCATTGTCCATTTGTATATCCAATCTCTCAGTCTTTTCTGCTTGACTTTGTAGATCAATTCCATCCTCCTGACTTGGACGTTGTGTGTCCTGAGGCAGAAGCTTTCCAGCGTCAATGCTGAAGTCTCAACGCTCAAAGACACCAGGTGTGGACCCTCCTTCCTTTTCTCTTCTTTTCAAGTCTCCTTAATTCTTCCCACAAACATTCACTGAGTACCTTTTGTATGCCTGGTCCTGTGCCCAGGACAGAACAGCACAGTGTCTAGATCTGGGGTCTCAAATGCCAGGTCTGCCACTTATAAGCTGTGTGACCATAAGCAAGTTACATAACCTCTCTGAAACTGTTTCCTCATCTGTATACTGGGGATATTAACATTGCCCACTTTATTTGGCTTATGAAGCAGTAACACAGTTACCAGGGAGAGTGTTTCCTATATCGAAACTATTAATACATTTTCTAACTCATCTACTGTGCATAATAATATGTGCGTATTTACAAAAACAGACTCATGCCATCTACTTTATTTTTATAACCATTTTCCTCTTAATAATGTCATGAATATTTTTCAATTTAACTAGACATTCTTTAACAATATCTTCTTTTTTTATAAAACATTTCAGTGTAAGAATGCAGCACAACTTACTTAAATCATGCCTTACTCGTGGACATTCAAGTTGTTTCTGATTTCTTGGGGTGGGGAGAGCTATTATAAGCAATGCAGTCTTGAATACCCTTGTAGATAGATCTTTTTCCACATCGGTGGTTATTGAATCATAACAGTAGGCATGAAACTGCCCGAGTCAATGGCAGGTTGGATTGTCCCACTTTTAGTATATATTGAAAATTATTTTCCAGAAAATTTGTTTCCATTTGCAAGAGTGCTTGTTTACCTACAGCTTTGCTGACACTGGGATTTATCATTTTTGTGTCATTTTGATGATTTAATAGGTGAAAGATACTATCTTATTATTTTAGTTTTGTATATATTATTTTATCTTACAGATGTGGGACATTCTCATACTTTTATAGGCCATTTGTGTTTCTTAACTTCATCACTCAACTACTCTTTTTTAAAAAAGATTTTATTTATTTATTTGAGAGAGAAAGCACAAGTGGGGGGGAGGGGCAAAGGGAGAGGAAGAAGCAGACTCCCTGCTGAGCAGGGAGCCTGATGAGAGACAGAGGCTTGATCTCAGCACCCTGAGATCATAACCTGAGCCAAAAGCAGCCACTTAACTGATTGAGCCACTCAAGCACCCCTCAACTAATCTTCATCTTAAGAACCTACCAAAGTCAGACATTGTCTAGGTTTTATTGTCAGGAACCTTATGATGTCCTTTACTTGTTTTCCTGTCAGTATCCTATCCCTCTTCCATCTTAAACAATTTTTTCTAAAAATTATTTTTAAGAAGTTGATGCAAAAAGTGTAAAACAAAGTTAATACATGCAATGGTAAGAAAAATTAAGCAGTGAAAAAGGGAACACATGGAAAGTAATTCCTTCTCTCTTCCCTGACTCCCAGGTCCCCAGATCTCTCCCACCTTAAGCAACAATTATCACTTGAATTGAGCTTCTTTCCAGAATATTCTATACCTACACATCAACCTTCTATTACATACATGATAGGATACTATACATATTCTGAACTTTGGTTTTTTTCCACATAATATGTAGCTGATTTCATATCAATACTTATGGCTAAAAACAACTAACAAAAATGTTTTTGTGCTAGACACTGTTGTAAGCATCCTTAGAGTTTTGTTATCTCATTTAATCTGTAGAACAAGTAATATCACCCTATAGGAATTGTATTATTGTCCGTATATCAATTTGAGGAAACTGAGGCACAGTTTCCACAGGTACCCAGAGCCTGTACCCTCACCCCCTATAGTATATGGTCTCTCTCATCTCATTTTAAAAAATGGTTTTATGGGACACCTGACTGGCTCAGTCGGTGAAGCATGCAACTCTTGATCTCAGGGTTGTGAATTCGAGCCCCATGTTGAGTATAGAGATTACTTAAAAATAAAATCTTTTAAAAATGGTTTTATTATTTGCTTTTATTTATTTTATTTTTCTTGTGAAAGCAAGAGCACTGAAAATCAGTTTTTCACATTTATCTCCACTTTGGAGTTCCATTCAGTCTATGAATTGGCTCAGCTTTTAGTCTCTATAGATTTGCCTATTCTGGACATTTCCTATGAATTGAAACATATACTGTGTATCCTTCTGCGACTGGCATCTCTCACTGACATAATGTCTTCAGGGTTCATCCACGTTGTAGCAGATGTCAGTGCTTTATTCCTTCTTATGGCTAAATAATAATCCAGGGTATGAATGGACCATATTTTGTTTATCTGTTCATCAATAGATGGACCCTGGGTTGTTTTAGTTGGAGGGGGGATAGGGAATGAATGCTTAATAGGTGTGGGGTTTCTTTTTGGGTGATAAAAATGTCTTAGAACTGGCTGGTGATGATGTTTGTACAGCATCGTGAATGTGTCAAATGCCACTGAATTGCACACTTTAAATGGTTAAAATGGTGAGTTTTATATTATGTGAGTTTTTATTCAATTAAAAAAAGTGTCCTTATATTTCATACTATGACATCACCATTCATTTAATGTGTCCCCAGTTCTTTTTTTTTTAATTTATTTTTTTTAAAGATTTTATTTATTCATTTGAGACACAGAGATACAGAGAGAGAGAGAGCATGAGCAGTGGGAGAGGCAGAAGGAGGGAGAGAGAGGAGGGGGAGAG